TTTTTTTATCATTTGGACATAATTTTTTATGAGGTCATGATCTTGATCAAAATTTTAGAGAAAATCTGTGATAAATGTAAAATTTTATTTTGTGAATGCAAACAAAAATCACGAAGTATTTCATATTGGTATAATGCAATGCACTGTCTAAATTCGTCTAAAATAATTGTGTACACATGTTTCAAATGCACTCTTCACACTGACTGTTGCACTTTCATACCGAGAAATATTTAAAAGTATTTCTGGTCAATTTGTTTCTCAAAATGTTCGCAGCTCAAAATTTTATTTTAAAATTCTGAAAAAAAAACCCTTAAAGAGTGGTTTTGTTTTCTGGGCTTGAATGAAAAACACAAGCATATTACACTGTTTGCAAGCTGTGCAAGTATAAACACTTGGCATACCAGAGATAATAGAAGAAAAGACAACATTTTAAATAAGTTGTATATTAATATACTATGTTATAATATACTGTTATAGAATATAACAAAATCTATAATTCTAATAAAAGCTTTAGTCATATTAGATAAAAATATATATTTAAAAATAGTAGAAAAGAATACAATATGGCAGTGTATTACACTGAATGTAGTATAGCACCTTCGAGTACAAGTTATTTTGAAAATTGAAGTGTATTCTCTTGAAATTACTTATTGAACTTTACCAAAATTGCTGGCAGCGCCCTCTAGTGTTTCACTTTAGTCATGGTAACGCGATGCTACTATTGGATTACAAATACCATTTTGTCTGATGCAAAAACTATCTTTTTTTTTAAGATTAAGATAAATCAGAGGCTAATACGATGTAGGTAGAAGTTCTGCTTGTGTGTATTATACAATCACTGGTGTACACGCCTCAAACTGCATTTGACAGCTCTCTGGATTTTAACCAATTAGAGCTTCTATTATTAAAATATGGTGCATCAACATGGAAAACAGTCTGTAACGCAAGTTCTGATTGCTTATTGAAACATGCAGTAGTCATAAACCGGTGACAATCAGACTGATCACAGCTCAAGGTGTAAATTACATCATTATGCAATATCAAACAAATTATTCAAGGATGCTTATTGACACTTTACTAAAACTTGCATCTTTGGTGTGTTACACGTCTGAGTCAAGCAAAGGCATTTACCCTGTCTTTCTATTCTCAGATGGCAGTGCAATCTTGCAAATTGGACATGCTTTGCGACAGTATTATTATGGGAGTAGTATGATGGAATAAACATCTATACGTGATGATGATGTCACTAATGAAAGTTGAATGCAGAGCAGTATTAATTAAGTATCCAGTACAAAGTAAATGCAGTAATGTGCCCTCTATCTCTACATGACTTCAACATAAATGAGAATGTGTCAAAATGAGTTTATGATCTGCGACAATTCTAGATTAAAAGCTATATGAGACAGTGCATATACTGAACGATAATAGACAAGTTCTGTTTTCACTGCACTGTTAAGATTTCTTCTATCCCAATTCTTGGTGTAGGTACAGTACCATACCTGGGTATACCATGCAATGAGATTCCTTTCCTATTCCACAGTAGTACCACACATCATTCACAGTTTATTTTCATTTATTGGATCTTTACTAGTAAGATCATTACTATGGGGATTACCGTAAAATCTGTATTAGAAGCCGCATCCCTAATAGAAGTCGCATCCATACTATTTGAATAATTGAGAACTAAAAATTCATCATTTCTCATATGTGTAGATGCTCTAATAGAAGCCGCATCCCCTCTGTTGCATTGTACCATTTTAATAGAAGCCGCGGCTTCTAATACAGATTTTACAGTACTCCTTTTTTCATTGGATCTTTCAAAGTTCATTACCATGGGAAATACCTCTGGCTTTTCTGACAGCTGCAATGATTTCTGGGTAGATGCTATCAACTGATATCCATGGACCATAAGAGTTGATTACATGACCTTTATGGTCAACTAAGAATTTCCAGAAGTTCCATGTGGGCTCCTTCTTGGAAACTCCTAAATAAAAATAGAAATTGTTGGTAATTATCAACATACATGTGTCTATATGCTAAGAAGCAGGTTTCAAACTAACATGCAAAATAAGAAGCAAATTTCATTTTCTTATGCATTGTAAAATCTTGGATATAATCATTTTCGCACACGACCTCACCGTCGTCCACCCAACATCGTAATGGTATAGTCCGGTATATAGATTTGTGGAATGTAAATTGACTAGATCCAAAATCTTTTCGTCCCTGAGAACGACCTCAATAAATGGAGTGTCATATATTGAGAGAAACAACTGTATCCACTCCTTGCAATATAATTCCTTATATTTTTGTATATGGAAAGTATACCACACAATTGTTCTGTGAACACATACCTGATAAGTACTTGAACAGGGGATGAGCACTGTCTCCAACAATATCAATCTTGCTGAACATTGGAAAATTGACAGCGTAGTTATCTTTAGCAAATTTTTCAATCAAATCATTTGTCTTCGGTTCTTGATTCCCAAACTGATTGCAGGGAAATGCGAGTATTGTGAAATGATCGGATAACGCTGGATCACTGGATATTTTAACCATGGATAGGTAATGACCGTCTGTGTAGCCGCATTCACTGGCAACATTTACAAACAATGTCACCTTAGGAGAAAAGCCAGATAAACACTGATCAGAGTATAAACATTCAGCTTAGGGGCAAACACTGCAACTTTTAATCTTATTCATACATATAATGAAAACAGTGCTCTGACACATTGAGTATAGAACAGGTGTGATAGGCAAGGCACTCCTCAACCTTTGACAGGACCTGGGGCAGGGTATGGGAGTCTGGGAAAGATTCTTCCATAAAGAAATATATTGGTATGTGACGGCATTCTGGGGGTTCTATTTCACTTGATTTAGTATAGAAGTGGGTGTATACCCATGTTTCATTTTGTAGGAAAAATAGTGAAATTGTAGCTAAGAATCGCCTGTGAAACCTTGCTGGTAATTGTGACAGTTTGAGAAGAAGATAATCTTTTGATAAGGATTATACCACTAAGAACTTTGAGTGGGCATCAGAGCCAGTAGGTATGATGGAAGTGTCACAGAGCAGTACAGAATATGAACACTGCACATGCAATCATGCAATATCAGCTGAGTGGTACAATCTCAAAAACGTGAAGATTATGACAGCCTGCATCTAAACACGACATCTCAATGAGCCATATGTACATGTTAAGTTATACCACTGTAGATTTATATGAATGACATGAATTCACACTGACGTCAGCAGCATTCAGTTCCCTTTATTGTGTAAGCAATTCACAATTAAAAAGTCATGTCACCAATTTGTCACACACTTGTGGCGAGTTGATTAACGCAATAACAACCGAAAAATGTTTTTGTTTTGTATTGTGCCTATTTGATGCACATGTCTTAACATGAAATGCCATCAACAGTTTCCCGAGAGGAGTAATCATAATGATATGCCAAAATGTCAATGTTATACAAGTCCAATCAGACACTTTAGAAGATGATGTTTGCGAACAAGTGACTAACATGCATGTACAAACCATAAACTAACTCTAATTTCAATACATACAGATACTGTCAGTGGTATGCGATTTTGTAATCATTTTTGTTTTTTGATCAACCCTTGCTACTGACAAAGAAACCAAGAGCTACAGAACAGCAGCTTATCAGAAGCATGGAGTTCTCTGTATTGACACTTTTCCCCCAATGTTAAATAGCGTCTATGGTTTAATTACAAATGATTTTTTTTATTTTGTAAAAGTAACTTTGTAATTTTGTACACTTTTGGGTTTTTTTTTTTGGTAACCTATACACAGCTGCTGATTGAAAACGTAATTATAGCGTTATCATATGAAACGTTATTATGATATAATTAATTACGTAATTATACTGTTATTTATTGTTATGGTGAAAATACGTTTTTTGAAAACGTCATTATGACGTTTACAACTATAATTATGCAACGTATTTTTGACGTCATAAAAACCATCTGAAAAAT